ACTTGTTGCTGCCTCACAAGAAAATAGAACTTTTATGTTAAAAATAAAGTCTGTTCTTCTTGAGAGTCTTTTTCTGTGTACTTTTATGAATATTGCCTCAAATGCCAATTTCTTTTCAGATATTTCTAGCTTGAAAAAACTTTAGTATATTCTTTTTCACAGGTAGAAAAATGAATGTGTGTTAAGTAGCAGGATATATAATATTCTCAGTTGTTCCTCCTTATTTCCTTGCTACCTCCTCAACTTCCTCCAGAACTGAGAGCACCTGGTATTTGTGGTAAGTGCTACGCAGACATTAAAATACAAGCAAGCATACTGAACGATGTACCTGTTTAAATTCAGTACTTTACAGGTTGTAAGAGATTTAGCTGGCGGCAGTCACTTAATTTCATTGTAAATTACACATAAAGGAGTTTTTTCCCTTTTGGTAATTCATTCTTGCTAAGCCAGCTATATTCTTCCTTTGTGACAATGGTTTATAGATGCAAGGCAGTTGTTTAGGTTGAGGGGGTTTAGTCTGTATGAAGATTGCATGCAGTATAATCTCTTAGAAAGCAGGGTCACCTTTTAAGTGAAATAAGTGTCACCATGGCTGCCTGTCATAAAAAGTCGTCACCAAGTTACTTTGTAAGAAATTCTAAAAATTATTTCTGGGGGGGGAAGTTAACTGTAATTTGGATACATATGTGTGTGTGTGTATGTATATATACATATACATACATAAACACACACACATATATATAAAAACACATTATAATGTAACATAGCATCAAATATGAAGAGAATCTCTCAAACTGGTGTAACATTTTCTCCCATTTTTCTGTCTTTTCCCTCCACCTTTAAAGAGGTTGAGAGGAGAAAATTTAGATCTTAAGTTGGGTGTGCCTAACTTTCTCCGTTTATTTGATTGTTTACTTTGATCCATTAGTATTAAATATACCCCCTTCCCCCAAAAGTTTTTAGGTCTATAATGATTCTTTCCCTTTAATTTCTTCTAAGTGGCTGGTTGTGAAATATTAGCATCCCCTTGCTAGGAGTTCCCTGCGATGTATATAATTTTTTCCCTTGCTAAGACTGTTTGCTTTTTAAATATATTTATTTTAGACCTCTATTAGAATGGGCTTCCCTGCTGGCTCAGACAGTAAAGAATCTGCCTGCAGTGCAGGAAACCCAGGTTTGATCCCTGGGTCGGAAAGTTCCCTTGGAGGAGGAAATGGCAACCCACTGCAGTATTCTTGCCTGGAGAATCCCATGGACAGAGGAGCCTGGTGGGCCACAGTCCATGAGGGTTGCAAAGAGTCAGACACAACTGAGCAGCTAACACTTTCACTTCCATTAGAACGTGGTGAGATAACACAGGTGACTTCACAGGTGGTGCAGTGGTAAAAGAATCTGCCCACCAATGTAGGAGACTCAAGATGTGGGTTTGTTCCCTGGGTCAGGAAGATCCCCTGGAGTAGGAATTGGCAACCCACTCCAGTATTTTTGCCCGGAAAATTCCATGAACAGAGGATCCTACCAGGCTCTAGTCCATGGGGTTGTAAAGAGTCAGACACAACTGACTGATGATATAAATAATCTTTGTATCTCTTTAGTTCAGTGTTTTCAAACTGTTTTGGTCTTGAAATGAATTATATAGGTCCAGCTGACATTTTTTTAAAATGAAGTATAACAAAAAATATAAGTATATTCAGACAGGGGAATAGTATTTGTATGTAAAGCTTTTGCTAGCCTTGAAAATTAAAGTTGTTCAGTCGTGTCAGACTCTTTGTGACCCCTTGAATATATAGTCCATGGAATTCTCCAGGCCAGAATGCTGCAGTCGGTAGTCATTCCTTTCTCCAAGGGATCTTCCCAATCCAGGGATTGGGAAGGGATTTGACCAAGGGATCAAGCCCAGGTCTCCCGCATTGCGAGCGGATTCTTAACCGGCTGAGCCACCAGTGACGCCCTCAGAAGCCACAGGGATACATAGGTACTAGGCTGTAAAGTAAAATACATTTCTTATTGTGAGTTGTCATCAAGAATTATTTGAAAAATACTGTTGTAGATACAACTTTTGTATATATGTGTTTTGGGGTTGGTCTGGTATCTTAACATGGAGACTGCAGTCTTTAAGGATACTGTTTCTACTTCTTTTTATTAACTATCTCCAAATTGCTGGTTTTATTTAAAAATTTCTCTTCAGTGGTTTGCATCTTCCTCACACTGAGAGTTTAACTCCATATACTCTGTTTGATTTTATATAGGAGTATGGATGCATCATACTAAACAAATCATTATGTTTTGGAGAAGACTATCATGGAGCTCAGGGCTTCCCTGATAGCTCAGATGGTAAAGAATCCGCCTGCAATGCAGGAGACCCCGGTTCAATTCCTGGGTCAGGAAGATCCCCTGGAGAAGGGACAGGCCACCCACTCCAGTATTCTTGGACTTCCCTTGTGGCTCAGCTGGTAAAGAATCCACCTGCAGTGTGGGAGACCGGGGTTTGAACCCTGCGTTGGGAAGATCCCCTGGAAAAGGGAAAGGCTACCCATTCCAGTATTCCAGCCTGGAGAATTCCATGGATGTATAGTCCATGGGGTCGCAAAGAGTTGGACATGACTGAGTGACTCTCACTCTCTATCATGGAGCTTTGATGGCCAAAAAACCAGGAGCCTCAGTTCCATGCCTTAAGCAGTTATTTTTGAGATCACTGGGCTCATTCAGAGGAGATCCAGGAAGAGCCCAAGATTTAGGGCCACAATTTGGGAACTAGTTCTGTCTGCAGGATCTTAAGAAAAGAAGTCATCTCTTTGTTTTTTTTATTTTTGTTTTTATTTTTTTGAAGTCACCTCTTTGAACTTCAGTTTTCTTATGTGATTTCAGGAAATGCTGATGACAGTGCTAGTCAGTTAGATGGCCAGTGAGTATGAAAATAACAAAACTGGAAGCAAACACACGTTATCTTCTTTCTCTTTTGTTAGGTAAGTTTATTCATTCCTTAGAAAAGCCACAAGTTGCTGATCAGGGAAAATGATCCCATGAAATTCATTTTACCTTGTAAAGTATAATACAGTCAAGGGTGTTGAGCTGAAATCATAATAAAGGTAGGTAACTGATAGCTTTCCACGTTCCAGTGCTTACAGAACCCTAGGAAGCCAGATACTGCTAGTTACTGTTTTATAAATCACAAGATCAGAATTAGATTAAGTAACTTATCCATGGTCATATATCTGAGAAATGTCAAAATCTGGCTTTGAACCAAGTCTGACTCCACAACTTAGACTTAACCACAAAGCATTACTGCTACTTCTCCTGTAACAGTGACATTAATAAAATGTAAGTGTCCAGTATCATTGCAGATCATGTGCCCTTGAGTCATCGCCTTGTTTGTTCTTTGTGGTATTCACTGGTTCAACTGCTGGTAGTTTGGTTCAGAGGGCAAAGAGAAAGTAAGCTGGTTAAACACCAGTTCCTGACCAAGCAAGTCAGTGACACAAATCCTCAAGCTCTGGTTTTTAAGGTTGCTATTAGCTGCAGAAATTCAGAAGAACTATTTCCTTTAATTTGAGAAGCATGTCTTTGAGGGGCTTCCCTGGTGGCTCAGATGGTAAAGAATCTGCCTACAACGCAGGACACCCAGGTCCGATCCCTGGGTTGGGAAGATTCACTGGAGAAGGGAATGGCTACCCGCTCCAGTATTCTTGCTGGAGAATCCCACGGACAGAGAACAGTCCATAGACTGGCAGGCTGTAGTCCATGAAGTCGCAAAGAGTCAGAAACGACTGAGTGACTTTCACTATCTTTTTTTCCCCCACTATCTCTCTTAGAGAGGCAAAAAGTGGGGCTTTCAATCACATTTTTGGTGAATTTTTTTTTAACGTGACTTTTTGAGGTAAAGACTTAGAAAAGTAATTTTTAGTCTGTTACTTTGCATGCTCATTTCAGACAGACAGTAAAATGAATCACCCAGATGACAGTTCCTATGTAACATTAACAGGAGTTACCCCTAGATGGTTAGGCTGTGGATGATTTCTTGGTCATCTACTTTTCTAGACTTTCTAAATGAGAGAGCATTATTTTGAAACGGAATAAAGAAAAATTTTTTAAAGGTAGAAACATGCCCTTCAAAATCTTACCTGTTAACACCTTATGTTTTACTTATTTTTTGGACACTGAATGGTTTTCTTTACACCACTGAGTCTTGCATTTAGATGCCAAGGGCCGTTCTTAATGCACTCCTTCTGCGTGCGTGCTTAGTCACTCAGTCGTGTCTGACTCCTGGTGACGCAATGGACTGTATCCCGCCAGGCCCCTCTGTCCATGGGGATTCTCCAGACGAGAATACTGGAGTGGGTTGCCATGCCCTCCTCCAGGGGGTCTTCCTGACCTGGGTGTCAAACTCACGTCTCCTGTATCTCCTGCATTTCAGGGGGATTTTTTTACCCACTGAGCCATCAGGGAACTCTTTAGTCTTCTTTTAAGTTGCACATAAAACATGGGAGAAGATAGAATATGTTGGGCTTATGGATGTGACCCATCCTAACAATAAGCATTTTTCTTCCCATCCTGCTCTGTAGGTTTTCTTTGGTATATTTAAATGAACCCTTATTGTTGTGTGTTTTAAATGCATGACTTTCAGTACTGGTGAGTTGGTTAATATGTTACAGTTTGTAGTTTAATGTAAAGTTAAAGCTTCCCAGTTTAATGTCTGCATCCCAAGATTCTGGGTCTGTTTCACTGCTCAAGGTAAGGAAATGCAGGGCCCTGCCAGTGCTATGGGAGATAGAAGTAACTGGATCAATTAATCCCAGCTTTTTGTTCCTCCTTTCAGCAAATCAAGTTAAGTAATATAGCTTATATTTCACTGGTTATTGTATCCAGGTTCAAAATTTTGCTGTTTAGTATTCTTTATTTTGTTACTAAGAGTATTAACACAAAGAACACACATTCTGTTATTTCCCATATCTTACAAAGTCCCTCCTGCATGAAATAAATTAGAAAGAATCAGTCTCACAAGGATATTAATTGCCCTGGTTTTATTTTCATTCTCTGGTATTTATATCATTCAAACTACCTTCTTACTACTATGGTCCTGAGGTAAAAACCAAAGTTTTTGAATAGGGAAACAATAACTAGATTTGTATTGAACACTTTAGAAAATAAACTTTTTTATGCCATCTTATAATTTTATTATTAATAAAAGAGGCTCAGAAAAATAGCACATTCAAACTTCCTTTGTTCATACACATTTAAGACCTTTACATTTCCAGATGGTCTATAAAGATAGTTATGTGAAATATCCATGGTTGAAATACACTTTTTCATTGTGCAAATACTGAAACCTGTTTTGTTAAAACAGTTTGTTTCTAATCATATCAGAGTTATGTTTTACAATTAATGAAAGATTTCAAAAAATACAAAGTCACACCAATTTGATCTTAATCTGCCCTAAAGTTGGTTGAAGAAAGATTAGGCAAATTTTAGTTCTGGGGGCTTTCTAAGTTTAAATGCATTTTTGTCTGGTATTAAAAAGTATAAGATAGCTATCCCCCCCACTTAATATAAAAAGCATTCATTTATTTTGATAAGTTGTTCTCAGCTCACCCTTGGTTAAGGTTAATTTATTTATTTATTGAATGGTGGTTCTAGATTTAACCAAATAGCAACTGATCACCTTTCTGTTCCATGTTTATCCTGTCCTTCCTTTCACTCGCTACTGAATATGTGCTTGGTTTCCTATTACACCTATTTTAGGTATAATATAGCCAAATTTCTGTTTCTGGCTTTTAAATTAATGATTGAGCTTCAAATAACTAACCTTGAGAAAAAATAAAAGTTTTAAATGTGCACTTCAAAAATGGAGTCTTTAGACTTGCTGAAGTTATAACTGAACTTTCTAAGGCAGTGTTGCTTTTGGGTTAAATGAGCAACTGGATACTCGTTGAAAGCAAAAATGTTAAGAGAAAACTAAGAACTGAATAACAAAAATTCTCATATGTTTCTTTTTTTTTCTAATAACCTTTGCCCTTGGCAGGCTGGGGGCAGTCTTCTCCTCTGCACGCAGAGTCTCTGTTTATGCTGTAACGAGGACTGCTCTGTGTGGGTGTGACGGAGCGCTACAAGTGTTTCTGAACTAATGCATCAGTGAAAATTAATAAGAGAAAAACGGCAAAACTCAAGACAGTTAACATTTTCTGAGGTACTCCCAAAATTGAGAGCTCAGAGTGACCATGGATATAGACTTTAGACTGTGATTCATAATCATGACCCTGGTGATGGAATTTTGGTGGAACAATGTACTATACTCTGGAGAATTTCACTGAATAAAAAGGGAGAATTGCAAACTGCTTCTTAAGGGTTAAACCAAATAAAGAAATAGGAATAAGCCCGTGAAAATATTTTAAGGAAAGTTTTACAGAATCTTTTAAGTCTGTATTTCTGACCCTCAGTTAAGGTCTTTCTAGCCTATCCACTACTTGACCACAGTTGTGGTTTTCCAAAGAGCCTGTGGGCAGTTCAGATCGTAGTTAGGCCAGACTGCTATAGATGGGAAGTGGACTGTGATTTACCTGCCCTAGTCCATTCCTAAGAAAATGTTTTTTCTATATACAGTGACTCAGAGATTACAAGCAATTCTCCTGTAAATAATAATTAAGCTTGCTTGGAACTAGGAGTATAGTGAAGCCTACTGTGAACATGTTAGTGAAAATGGTCACTTATACAGATACAGTGGACTGCACAGTGATGGAACAGGACACCGGGTGAACTGCCTCAGAACTAAAGGCTGGGCAGGAAGAGAGAATGGGACACAGAGTGACTTGTGTCTACAATGGCTGTGCTTACATTAGCATCTCCTTCAGCTTCCATTAAATAGCCTGCCTTCTGATACTTAAGACTCCAAACCTTTCAGGGGTAAGTTTGTCCTTCATAATCAAATAGAACCTTAGCTGATGTCACCCACAGAAAAGTGAAAAAAATCAAAGACTGCTTTACTGATAGTATAGAGCTTTCTGTAATTTTGCCAGGAAGTATTCTGGATTAAATCATGTTAAGAAATACTGGGTAAGTATTGCACATCTGTTCGAGGGTGAGTTAATTAGATTTTTCCCTCATTCAAGTAGACGTTTCTGGGTCATTGCAGGAATACAACTGCCAGTTGCCCAGGGAGTACCCTCCCCTTATCTTCTTTCAGGCGGCATGTGAATACAGTGCATTGTGATAGCAGTGTGTGAAGACTTAGGCCTGAAGACACAATGAAGTACAATGTCTGAAATACTGCTGGACAGTCCTGTGGTTTATAAGATGGGAAGAGAGTTTTCTGTTTCTACAGAGGGTGGACTTAGCAATTAACTCATCCTGCTACTTTACCAAAAAAAATTCATAATGAAACTGGAGGGTGTCCATGATTTTGTATGAAGGAAAAGAACTGAGGTATTACATTTTAGCCTCCAAGTGGAGAGAACAAGTACCGAGTTTCTCTGTGATTTCATCAAAGAAAACTGAGTTCTCAAATCTTATTCTACCTTTCTAAAGACAAATACTCAGAGATTACAAGCAATTCTCCTGTAAATAATAATTAAGCTTGCTTGGAACTAGGAGTATAGTGAAGCCTACTGTGAACATGTTAGTGAAAATGGTCACTTATACAGATACAGTGGACTGCACAGTGATGGAACAGGACACCGGGTGAACTGCCTCAGAACTAAAGGCTGGGCAGGAAGAGAGAATGGGACACAGAGTGACTTGTGTCTACAATGGCTGTGCTTACATTAGCATCTCCTTCAGCTTCCATTAAATAGCCTGCCTTCTGATACTTAAGACTCCAAACCTTTCAGGGGTAAGTTTGTCCTTCATAATCAAATAGAACCTTAGCTGATGTCACCCACAGAAAAGTGAAAAAAATCAAAGACTGCTTTACTGATAGTATAGAGCTTTCTGTAACTTTGCCAGGAAGTATACTGGATTAAATCATGTTAAGAAATACTGGGTAAGTATTGCACATCTGTTCGAGGGTGAGTTAATTAGATTTTTCCCTCATTCAAGTAGACATTTCTGGGTCATTGCAGGAATACAACTGCCAGTTGCCCAGGGAGTACCCTCCCCTTATCTTCTTTCAGGCGGCATGTGAATACAGTGCATTGTGATAGCAATGTGTGAAGACTTAGGCCTGAAGACACAATGAAGTACAATGTCTGAAATACTGCTGGACAGTCCTGTGGTTTATAAGATGGGAAGAGAGTTTTCTGTTTCTACAGAGGGTGGACTTAGCAATTAACTCATCCTGCTACTTTACCAAAAAAAATTCATAATGAAACTGGAGGGTGTCCATGATTTTGTATGAAGGAAAAGAACTGAGGTATTACATTTTAGCCTCCAAGTGGAGAGAACAAGTACCGAGTTTCTCTGTGATTTCATCAAAGAAAACTGAGTTCTCAAATCTTATTCTACCTTTCTAAAGACAAAGCTAGTCTTGTTTCTAGTGCTATGTTCCACAACAGAAAATTCCCCCTGCCAGTGTTTTATTTAAAAACCAACCCCAAATCACAACCCAGTTTACATGCTGTCCGTTATCTACATATAGAAATCTCAGCCAGCAAGGCAACTCATACATAAAAGGCTTTCCAAATAAATAAACCCAATCCCTACTGACAATTATCCCTACCTGTTAGCCTAAGTTTTGGTATCAATTTCAGACTCAATAGTCTCTATAAAGTTTTTCATATATTACCAACTGCTGCAGATATTAAATAGACACTTAATATATAGAAATGTGGTTGGTCCTTACCATCTGTCTAAAGTTGGCTGTCAAGTGTTAAATTTGCAAACACAATGTCTTCGTATGTGAGTGACAACATAAACTCCTTTCCACTAAGGCAGTAAGTTGCAAAACTGGTGTCTCAAGGCCATTCAAGTGGCATCGTAGTTTCAGTCAAGCATTGAGAAGTTCATCATCTGAGTGTCCGATAGCATCTGGGTTTGAAAGTGGATCCAAGTCTGCAAACAGATTGAACCAGGCTGACATGTCTTGGTTACCACTGTTGGGAGCTAGTAAAAAAAGAAAAAAAAACAAAAAACCACATTGAAGAGTCTCAGATTTTTTAAAAATCACATCATTGTACCACATTTATGATTTTAAAGTAGACACTGCTTCTTTTGAATCAAACTTAAGACAACTGACAAGAGTAAACATGGATTATGTCTCCCTGAGGATAATTTTGAAAAGCTAATGTAGATACCTCATGCTTTGCTGAGGCTACTTACGTAACTGCATGTTGCTCTGAGAAGGACTTGATTAAAAGTGAAAGTCAGGAAGTAATAGAAGACTCTCAGATAAGGCTCAAGGTTAAAAGTAACCTTTGTTCCTACACTTGCAAACTTAGTGCTTGGAATACATATTTATTATCAAGGTAATCCTAAAGTACTAGATGTAGGGGAAACAATCCCCTCATCCTGTCACCAACGGTTCTCATTTTCAGTTACAGCTGTTTTGTCTTTTCCATGTGTACTTTACAAATTTTTGATTAATATATTATGGGATGAATTGTCTCAGATACAACTTCCTGTTGACCAACTCTCACCTTGTGGAGAATGGAAAATTGCCTATATGGGTAATCTACAAGTAATGGGCAGATAGTCAAGAACAATACATTTATGCTGAAGGCTGGGACGAGTGAAAGACTGTTCAGTGGCATGGACAGTGGGTCATCTCAGAAGGCCAGGGGGTCCAGAAAGCTGGGCTGAGACCCAGGGGACAATCTGAAGACGACATTATGAGACCAGAGACGCAGAGGGTGGAAGGCAATCCAACTCGAGGGCTAAAGCAACCCCCTCTTACAATCATGGCTATAACTTTACACAGGAGAGGGGGCTGGAGCCTGGGCTGTGGGGACCCCAAGCCTCAGGGGTCCAGACAGAGTGAAAGGCAGCCTTGTGTGTCCAGTTCTGCTTCTGCGAACCCCAAGGGAGTGTCACTGATGCCCACACGAAACTCTGGCTCTGAGTCCTGGGTGTACTACCTACTAATAAGTAACAATGAGCAAGTCATCTAACCTTGGGTCCCCTTGCTTCCTCATTTGTAAAGATCATATAATTTATTATTAAACCAGGATACTTGAGAGGAAGTGGGGCGGGGGGGGGGGCTATTAATAATTAAACTTGAAGAACAGTGTCAAGCAGGACATGTGATTGTTCCATTAATGCCTGAACTCCCTCAAACAGCTGTTGAAGGGTTCTGATGAGCATATGAAGATTGTACAGCATTCTACAAATGTGGGATTGGTTTTATATTTATCTGTCACAATGGGAGATAAAGGTCTTAATTACGTTATTTTCACGGGGGCTTTCCTTGTGCACTTTTCTTGCCTACAGAGATTCTTAGAGGACAGCAACTAGAGGGTGAGTCAGGTGGTGCTAGTGGTAAAGAATCCACTGCCAGTGCAGGAGGCAAAGAGATGGGGGTTTGATTCCCTGGGTTGGGAAGATCCCCTGGAGGAGGGCACGGCAACCCACTCCAGTATTCTTGCCTGGAGAATCCCCTGGACAGAGGAGCCTGGTGGGCTACGGGTGGCACAGAGTCAGACATGACTGCAGCGACTTAGCATGCATCATGTATAGAGAAAAAGCCCAAATAACTAATTTTCATACAGTAAAAGCGACCATAAAAATATCGACATCAAGAAACAGAACATGACCACTCCTTAGAAGCTGCCCTTGTGGCACCCTTCCAGTCACTACTCACACCACCCTTACCCAACCTCTCACCCAGCATCACAGATAAAATAAATACCCTTTGGGGATGTGAGCAACAGTGCTGTCAAAACATCTTTTTGCCTCTATTTTGGTCAACAGGTGAATGCATTTCTGTTGGATATGTACCTAAGAGTGGAAAAGTACATGCATCTTGTGGTACGTGTATTTCAGTTTTAGCAGAAACTGCCAGTTTTCCAAACGGTAATTATAATTGACACTCTCACAAGTAGTGTCCGAGTTCTTCCATATCCTTGTTAGCCTGAGTGGTTTTCATTTTTTATTTAAGCTGTTCTGATAGGTGTGTAATAGTATTATTGCATTTTGGTTTTAGTTTGCATTTCCTTAAGGTGGATCAGCTAGTAAAGAACTCACCTGCAATGTGGGAGACCTGGGTTTGATCCCTGGGTTGGGAAGATCCCCTGGAGAAGGGAATGGCTACCCACTCCAGTATTCTGGCCTGGAGAATTCCATGGACTGTATATAGTCCATGGGATTGCAGAGTCGGACATGCTGAGCGACTCACTTCACTTCACTAATGTCTAATGAAGTGGGGGGTACTTAATGAGTGAATTTTAAAATCGTTAAGAATTTTAATTTTTATCGAAATTCTAAGGCTTAATTTTATTGTAGCTTTTTGCTGAAAGCTTTTTCCCCCACAATAAGCCTCAAGTATTACAGGCAAATAGCAGCATTCCCAGTATCTCAGCTTTTTTGTGTTCAGTGGTGAAATTTACTCACTTTTTTAATGATTAAACACAATTAAGTTTTAGTGAGTTTAAAAAGAGAAAACTAAATAGTCTGAATCCCTAAGGGTGTCTGTATTCAGAATTGGCTGCTGTGAATCTGCGATTTGCTTGGAATTGACGGATTCCCCAACTGATTTATCCCAAAGTATTAGGAAGAATAAAATAGGATTCCATGAGTCCACAATGATACATATCAACAAGTTAGTAAAAGGACAAGACAAAGCTTTTCTGTATAGCAGAACGACGACTAGTAAACACAGAAGGAATGATGAAACAGAAAAGTATCATCTGGTAACAGCCACAGTAACAGACGTTTCATGCAGAAATTATCAAGGAATGCTAAGTTAGTGGGTGAAACTCTGATAATCAGAAACAAGCCATTCTCACAGTTTCAAAATATTTTTCCACATGATAATTATTCATCATCTAGTGAATAAACCTGGCAGATACCACCTTAACCAAGAGAATGAAGTTAATAACATCGTAAGCAACGGGGCAGAACAGACACCGTGTGCCCCCGGTATGGTTTACTAAGAACACTCAGTATCGTTCCTGTGCTGCCAGTCCTGACAAGACGCAGAACCCGAATCTACGAGACAGCCTCAGATAAACTCAATTCGAGAAATATTCTACAAAATAAACCACACACACACACACACACACAAAGCCACAACATGGAAGGCAAAGACTGAGGAACTGTCCCAGATTCAGAGGCTAAAGAGACTTGACAACAAATACAGTGTGATCCTGGGTTGGATCCTGGTCTAGGAAAATAATCTTTTTGTCTTGTTCTAAAATACATTATATTTATAACACTATTTTATTTTATAACAACTGAAAGAATCTGAATAAGATCTATACATTGGATAACAGTTGTATGGTAATGTTTAATTTCCAATTTTGATCACTAAATTGTGATTATGTAACAGGATGTCCTTCTTAGGAAACAGATGCTAACATTTTTAGGGCTGAAGGGCATTATGCCTGATACTTAAGTCTCAGAATAATTTCAGTTCACAGGAAATTACATATATCACACACACACAGAATAAGGCAAACATGGACATTTTAGGAAATCTAGGTGGGAATATGGGAATATTTGGTATTATTTTTGCAAGCCTTTCTGTAGGTCTGAAATGGTTTGAAAATTTTTAAATATTGACACTACAAAGATTTAGATGTCAGCCTGAAAGTGCTCCCACTGGTCAACATGGGGACAATTTGAGAACCAAAATGATTGAGTACAGTAGAAAACGTATGAATCCATTCTGACAGTGAACACGTATGTAGATGGGGAATGAGAGACAGTTTTCCGCTCACAGCAGAAGGGACGGGCCACTCACTCCAGTATTCTTGGGCTTTCCTGGTGGCTTAGACAGTTCAGAATCTGCCTGCAATCTGCGAGACCCGGGTTCGATCCCTGGGCTGGGAAGATCCCCCTGGAGGAGGGCATGCCAACCCACTCAAGTATTCCTGCCTGGAGAATCCCATGGACAGAGGAGCCCGGTGGGCTGCGGTCCATGGGGTCGCAAAGAGTCGGACACGACTGACGACTAAGCACGCAACACCGGCAGGTGGAAGAAGCCAAGTGTCTGGCGTGTGAATGACATGTCAGTAAGGCTGTCTAAAAAATGTGATTAATGGATGAGTGGATAAACAAAATGTGGCACATCCATACAATGAAATATTATTCAACTTTAAAAGGGAAGGAGATCCTGTCACATGCTACAACATGGATGAACTTTGAGGACACTGTGCTAAGTAAAATTAGCCAGGCACAAGACGACATGTATTTGCATGACTGTTTATATGAGGTGTGTAAGGCAGTCAGAGTCATAGAAATAGAAGGTAAAATGGTGGTTTCCCAGGGGCTGGGAAGAGAGAATAGGAAGTCACTGCTCAACGGGTACAAAGTTTCAAATTCTTCATAGCAAAGTGCATATACTTTACTGAACTGTACACTTAAAAATGGCTAAGATGCTAGATTTTGTTCTGTGTTTTTACTACAATTTAAAAACAAAAGTGTGGAGAGAGTGCTAGGGTTGGAAAACCATCACTTTTCACCTGTAACAGGACAGGCTGAATCAGGCAAAAAGCAAAATGGATGCTAAACCTAAGTGGAAATTCTGACCAACAGTGAAGGATGTGTACAAGGTTTCACAGCGTCTTCCCACAGACTGCTCAGTCATCGTCAGGGAGGACAGAGCAAAATGGTGATGACGTAGGAGGAAAACTGGACGCCACCTTGGCTGAGTGGTCAACAGGAGCAGCACCCATGAGCGACAGAGGGACAGCTCTGAGCTCTTAAACCTGAGAAAGGAACATCACCTCTGTGTACTCCAGTCAGGATAATCTGAGCAGATATTCAGGAAAACTAACAACCTACATTTAATTACAAGGAGACCTCAAATCAAACTGAATAAGGAGCCTTCTATTGAAAACAACAGTGGAGCAGAGGGACGATATTCTTTTAAGATGCCCATATCCAAAAAAACCAAAAGTTTTGGAAATGTTTCAGATTAAGAGAGTCTCATGAGATATGGCAAGTGCATACAGCGCACGACCACAGGCTCCCCCCACCCCTGCCTGGCCAGGCAGACGCAGCACGGGGCTAAAGGGCATTACTGGGTCAACTCAAACAAGATACAGATACTTGGTACATTACAGACAAGTGTGCTAGCACTTCTGACATTACAGCCGTGTTGTGGGTGTGCGAGAGAATACACCTGTGCTCAGGAAACACAGCTGCAGCTTTTAGGAGTGAAGGGTCACGGTGCATTTAACGTACCCGCGAGTGGTTCAGATAAAACAACACATGCATCACACACACGCCCGTACGAAGCAAAGGGGACAAATGCTGACAAGAGGTGAATCTGCATGGAGGTGTTCTCCGTGCCATTTTCATTTATGACATATTTCTGTATGTCTGAAGTTCTGTACAATCAAAAAGTTACATCAACGTCATTGACTAGGATTAATATGTATAATTCCCTGTAAGACAGGGAATGGGTCTATTTTCTATGCATATCCTACATGGTCATTACAACATGAACCAGCTCTGCAGACAAAATATAGTTAGTACTTGATATATGTTAGCAATTACTATGTACCAGGTCCTATGCTACAAGCCTGAGTGCATTCTCTGCCAACAGGCATCTTGTGCACAAATAGCATGTTCTATTCTAATGGTATTACCCATTATCAATAAACTTTAACACAAAATATTAAAGACTGAAGTAGAGGATATAGTTTACTATGGCAAGCCCACGAAGTCTAGTCATTACTTTCCACAGTGAGGGACAGCCAAATACAGCTTTCATTTTAATTCATTATTTACAAAATAATTTTCTGGACAATATGAGGCAAAGGCTATAAAATGATTCTTTTCTAAATTTACTTGAATTTGACTTATTATGATGGTAGATGATGTAAATAAGTAACTTACATTTTGTTAATTTCTTTGGACTCTGTGAAGGCACTGGCTGATTATCAATGTGTGAAAGAGGAAATTCTAATCCCCCATAGGAGGCCCAGCCTGGGGAAAGAAATAATGAAATTACACACTGTTAATCAAATGGGAAGTAGCATCAGAAAAACAAGGGAAAAATATCTAATAAAAGTCCTCCAATCTTTGTTCCAGGGTAATATTCCATAATATAATTAGGGCTTGGGAGGCCTGTTAGGAGGAGTCACAGTAACCCAGGAAACCAAATGAGGTTCTAAATGGAAGAGGAGTGGGACATTTGAGACACATTTTAGAAATGTAATTGATAGGACTTAGGAACCATTATGAAGCGGGGAACGACACGATTCCCAAGGCGTCGGGCTGGACACAGGATGGTGGAACAGCAGGTGAGTGGAGAGACTCCCTGTCATGTAAACAAAGCAAGTGACCCCTTCCTGCTCCCAGCTTTCTACACAGCCCTCCACGCCCATCGCCTTGCCCGGAAGCAAGTCAGGGAAGCAGCTCCGGAGTTGTTCCCTTTTCTTTGGTCATCTCTGAGCTCACAGGAAGAGAATGTATCAAGTTTCGCTAGGTGGAAGAAACAGTGTCACCTGCCCTAGGCAGGGATAACTTAGCAGATCAAGAATTTTAAACAAGACACTGGTTTTCTATGTAAAGAAGATACCTGAGAAAGTTGATGAAGAAACTATGGGGTTTAGGGGAGGTGACAGGAAGACAGTCTTTGTTTTACTCTCCTTGACAGACTCCAGTGATACCTGTTGTTTTTCTTGTTGACTGGTGTGACTGAGGATTTTATCTAGCAGTACTGAAGCTGACTTAGTCTCCTTGTTGATTTCAGCACCCACATGCACCTAGTTTTGCTTCACAAATATACAGCAATTCAGGGATGTCCAAATGCTGCACTGACACTTACTGTTGAAAGCTCCAGCGGCATGAAGGCCAAGGTCAAAGAGCTGCGAAGGGAGGAATCCTGCGGAGTGAGCAAGAGGCTCGGACCCCCCAGAAGGCTCCTGGCACATGAGACTGGCCTGGGGGCTTCCAAAGACAGCCTGGCATCCCTGGGAAGCTTCACCAGCACTCCAACAACCAGGACTTAGGAGGCTGTTCAGAAACGAGAATTCCTTCTCAAAATCATCTTCCAGTGAATCTACTGGCAAATCTTTTGCAACTGTTGAGTGAACATAAAAACAAAATGACTTTTATCTTTTCAAGGAAATAAGAGTAGAATATATGGCAAATCAAGTCTGTTTCTTTCTCATATTTTATTAACATAATTTTAACAAATAAAGTGATTAGAAGTTTATGTGAAGAAAATTTCTAATTAGGTAGGCTACATATCAAAATTCTTAAATCCTTAAAGAATTCTTAAAGAAATTTGTGGAAAATTCTTAAAGAAATCTGAATACCAGACCCCACTACCTGCCTCCTAAGAAATCTGTATGCAGGTCAAGAAGCTGTAGTTACAATCAGATATGGAACAACAGACTGGTTCCAAATTGGGAAAGGAGTATGTCAAGGCTGTATATTGTCACCCTGCTTATTNGTTTGAGCAAGCTCCAGGAGTTGGTGATGGACAGGGAAGCCTGGCTTGCTGCAGTCCATGGAGTCTCAGAGTCGGACATGACTGAGTGACTGAACTGAAAGGTCAAAATGACCACATTTCACAGTGAAATTAATAGCTATAAATATTTATGTATAAAATAACTAAGCAACCACATGTGTAAGACAGAAACTATAGGAAATGCGAGGAAAAACAGAAGCTAATAATAGGAGACTATAATATACCAAGTTAAAAAACAGGCCAAGAGGACAGAAGTAAAGATGTGAAAGATCCAAAAACATAATCAACACAGTAGTTTGTTTTTTTTTCAGCCATGTTGTGCAGCATGTGAGATCTTGGTTCTCCAACCAGGGATCAGACCTGCACCCCTTGCATTGGGCGGATAAAGTTTTAAACACTAGACTTCTGGGGAGGTTCTACTGTGGCTGTTCTTGAATATATACAAACCCTAATAGAAAATATACCTTCTTTTGAAGCACACATTGAAAATTCACAGAAATTAGTAACTAAGGCACACACACAAATCAGTTTCTTAAAATAGAAATATTACAAACAACATGCTCTGGTTACAATGAAATAAAATGAGACAATTCCTGGAGAAGGAAATGGAAACCCACCCCAGTGTTCTTGCCTGGGAAATCTCATGGACAGTGGAGCCTGGCGGGCTACAGTCCATGGGGTCACAAGAGAGTCAGACATGACTTAGCAACTCAGCAACAACCACAATCGATTATAGGCAGGTCTTTCAATTGCCGGAGGATGGGGGCCCATAACCCCCACTGAGTTCAAGGGTCAACTGTATTTGGTCTTGTGATTCCTATATTTATGTATGAAACAAAAACTTATTAAATTAGTACCTTAAATAAAGTGTGATTAAGGGATAAAAATGAGACCATTTTTTAATGAAACCAGAAACTAAAAGGCTCTTCTGCCTGCACATTCTTAACACCTCCTTTTAAACAACTCCTGGTTGAAAGGTGAATGGAATTTCCAAAAAATAGTGATGAAGAACATGTTTCATATCATAATCCATGGGGTATTTAAATAATAATTAATAGAAAAATCATGACTACATTTATCAATAAAAATCAAAGAGGCTTTTGGCATGATACAATGATGAGGTCTAGGGACCTGCATATCAGTTTTTAAGTAACTGGTGAAAATTATTTTAAAATCTCTGGAAATTTTCTAAGGACATACTTCAAATGAAGAAACATTTACACAAGAAAATCTATTAAAATTCAGAAAGAATGAAAGCCTATGATATTTGAACTAAGAACCGTTCCTTTCCACCCTCCTTTGTCAGTTCAACAAGATGACAATCTGCTCTAGTCTGGGGGAAGTCAGGGAGGAGACCAAGGAATAACTGCAAACAAGCATGAGAGAATTTGGAAGGTAATGGAAATATTCTAATTCTCTATTGTGATGGTTGCCCAACTCTACAAATTTACTAAAAGCCACGAATGTTATATTTACAATGGGTGAATCTTATGGTATTTAAATTATATCCCAATAAAGCTGTTAAAAAAAATCAAGAGATTTTGTACAACTCTATGCAAATAAATTTGAAAACCCAGGCAAAATGATTAATTTCTGAGAAAAATACAACTTACTAAAATTGATCCCAGGACAGGTAAAAAGGTTAAAGTGATCAATTTCCACAAAGAAGAAAACTAAAAAAATCACAGGCTGAGATATTTTCACAGGGAAATTAATATCAATGAAAACATAGTAAATAAAATATCAACAGACAATGCACAATCACAAAGCTGGATTTATAACTGGAATCCAAAGACAGTGTAATATTAATATACACTATTAATATAGTGTATATATTAGAAACCTATTAATATAGAAACCTATTAATATAGCTCACCATCTTAATGTATTTAAGAGCAAACATCAAATAATCACTGCTACAGATGCTGAAAAAGCTGTTGGCAAAATTCAACAAGGAGCGGGCATGCAACCATTCTTAATAAAATCTCTTGAGAAAACAGTAATGTGTGGATACTTAACAGTATAAAATATATACCTCAGTCTAAAAGCTAGCATCTTAATTAATTCAGAAACAGGCACTGACACCAAGATCAGGAAACGCTTGCTATTAGTTCACACTGTTCTGGACGTAGTAACCAATTCAATTTTAAAAAAGAAATTAATTACAGTCACAGGAGTTGTTAAAGAAGAAACTAGACTATATGTGTTTCCAGAAGACATGCTGGTTTACCTGGAAAGTTCCAGAAAATCACTCATAAAACTAACTCAAAGTATAAACAAATTTAGCAAGGTAGCAGGGTATAAAACTAATATGCAAAAAAAAAAATAGCACTTATATACACAAAATAGTAACCAATTAAAGATGAAATGGAAAGAAAATGTCATTTATAATCACAATAAAAGAAAATATCAGAGATGATCTTAATTAGAAATGTTCAAAACCTACATAAAAAGACTATATGAAAGCTATACAAGTAAACTTTAACAGAAAGATGCCCCTTGTTTTTGTCTAGAATGTCTAGATATCATCAAACTGTCAGTTTTCAGATTTAATGTGATCACAAAGTATCAATGAAACTTTCTTATGGAGCTAGACAATTTGATTAAAAAATTCATATTGAGAAATAAACATGCAAAAGAATAGTTAAGAAAACAATGAAGATGAAGATACTAGTCCCACCAGATACAAAAACACACAAGATAACTTTCTATAATTAAAACCACGTGGGTTTCTCTGGTGATCAAGTGGCTAAGAATCTGCCTCCCAGTACAGGGGTTTGATCCCTGGTCCCGGAAGAGCCCAGATACCGCAGAGCCAATAAGCCTGTGCGCCGCGACAAGAGAAGCCACTGCAATGGAAACCTGGGCGCTGCAATGAAGGGTCGCCCCCTCCTGCCACTACTAGAGAAAGCCTGGATGCAGCCAAAAATAGAGAAATAAGTCTTTAAATAAAAAACGTGGCAATGGTGCATTGACACATCTATAAGCTATAAACAAAGTCCAGAAATAGACTCAAATACATATAGAAATCTAGCATATGAGTGGAAGTTAATCTCCAATTACTGAGGCAAAGATGGCATTAAAAAAAAGAAAGGATAGATATTTGGAAAAATATAACATTCAATCCATTGTTCCAACACCATATGTGTGAATAAACTTCAAATGAATTGGAGATCTAAAGGTAAAAAAAAAAAAAACTATATAAATACTAGTAGAAAGCATAAACAAATTCCTCTAACCTGAGCTTTGCATAGGACATAAATCCAGATCCAATAAAATAAAAGATTAATAGACTATATAAAATGTTTAAAATTTTTTTCATGGCAAGAAACAACTATAAGAAAAGTCAAAAGACAAATGACAAACAGGAAGAAAACATATGCAACATAACTGCTTGGGAGAAATGTTCAAGGTGGAAGGGGGGATCGGGATGGGGAATACATGTAAGTCCATGGCTGATTCATGTCAATGTATGACAAAAACCACTACAGTACTGTAACGTAATTAGCCTCCAACTAATAAAAATAAATGGAAAAAAAAATATTCAAGGCAGTGTTCACGGAGTGCCCACACAGGTAGGTGGTAAGGCACACAGTCAGTAAGGTAACAACAGTCCTGCGCGTCCTCCCAGCTACAGGCGCGTGCCGCAGGGCCGAGACGCACGGAATAAACGAGGCTTTAACTTCCACTGTGACGTGCCACGACGTAAAAGTGCAGGACCGCGTTCCTGTGTAAGACCTATCAGATTCTCATGTAAATAAAAACTAAAGAATTTTAAGTAATAAATTATCCACATATACTGTGAAATTATAATATACCATTTTCAGAGTCAGAAAACTGAGGCGCTACAAATTCTTCTATTCGAGAATGTTTTTCCTTGTGATCTTCAGTTGCTGAAACAAAAGCACATGAAAGATTAAGTTGAAGAAGAGAAAATTTGGCATGCTTATTTACTATAGTAGTTTATAATAATTTAAACGCAACTGTTCAACTGACCAAATCAGATTATAATCCATATATATATAAATGTAAAGATTATAGATAAAGATTACATATGTATAACAATTTTATAATACCCACAAATATTCAGGTCCTCTGTTCTATCCATGCTCTCTTAAAAGTTTTCACATTCCATGTAATTCACACAGTGGCTATGGAGAACAATATGGAAGTGTCTCAAAAAAGCTAAAAATAGAACTACCATATGACCCAACAATGCCACTTCTGAGTATTTATCCAAAAAATAAAAATAAAAACACTATTTCAAAAAGATATATGCACCCCCATATTCACTGCAGCATTATTTACAATAGCCAAGACACTGAAAGAAACTAAGTGTCCATCAATGGGTGAAAAAAGAAAATGTGGTTCATATAGGCAATGGAACATTATTCAGCCATAAAAAGAATACAATCTTAGCATTGACGACACCATGGATGGACTTTGAGGGCATTATGCTAAGTGAAATGGGTCAGAGGAAGACACAGACTGTACCATCACACTTATAGGTGGTGTGTAAAGAACAAATGATACCGAAGCTCAGAGATATAGAGAACAGGGGTGGTTGCCAAAGGCTGAGGTGGGGGCGCAATGAGTGAAGGAAGTTAAAACGTACAAACTGTCAATTATAAAATGAGTAAGTCATGGGGATATAGCGTAAAGAATGTTGATTGTAGTTAGTACTTTGTTACTATTGTTCAGTTGCTAAGTGTCAGACTCTTTGCAACTCCAAGGACTGCAGCGTGTCAGGTTTCCCTGTCCTTCACTATCTCCCTAAGTTTGCTCAGATTCATGTCCATTGAGTCGGTGATGCTATCTCTAACCATCTCATCCTCTGCCACCCTCTTCTTTTGCATTCAATCATTCCCAGCACAGGTGTCTTCTCCAATGAGTTGGCTCTTTGCATCAGGTGGCCAAAGTATTGGAGCTTCAGTTTCAGCACCAGTCCTTCCAATGAACATTCAGGATTTATTTCCTTTAGGATTGACTGGTTTGATCTCCTTGCAATACAAGGGACTCTCAATCAAGAGTCTTCTCCAGCACCACAGTTAGAAAGCATCAGTTCTGTGGTGGTTGCCTTCTTTATGGTCCAGCTCTCACATGTGTATGTGACTACTGGAAAAACTATAGCTTTAACAATATGGATCTTTGTCAGCAAAGGGATGTCTTTGCTTTTCAATATGCTGTCTATGTCTGTCACAGTTGTCCTCACAAGTAGCAAGCATCTTTTAATTTCAAGGCTGCAATCATTGTGTGCAGTGATTTTGGAGCCCAAGAAAAGAAAATCTGTCACTGCTTCCACTTTTTCCCCTTCTATTTGCCATGAATTGATGGGACTAGATGCCATAATCTTAGTTTTCTGATGTTGAGTTTTAAGCCACCTTTTTCACTCTTCTCCTTCACCCCCATCAAGAGGCTTTTTAGTTCCTCTTCACTTTCTGCCATTAGAGTGGAATAATTTATATATCTGAGGTTGTTGATATTTCTCCTGGCAATTTTGATTCCAGCTTGTGCTGCATCCAGCCTGGCATTTTGCATGATATACGCTGCATATAAGTTAAATAAGCAAGGTGACAATATACAGCCTTGATGTACTCCTTTCCCAATTCTGAACCAGTCCTTTATTCCATGTCCAGTTCTAACTGTTGCTTCTTGACCTGCATACAGGTTTCTCAGAGACAGGGAAGGTAGTCTGGTATTCCCATCTCTTTAAGAATTTTCCACAGTTTGTTAAGATCCAGACAGTCAAACGCTTTTGCTTAGTCAATGAGGCAGAAGTAAATGTTTTGCTGGAATTCCCTCGCTGTCTCTATGATCCAGTGAATGTTGGAAATTTGGTCTCTTGTTCCTCTGCCTTTTCTAAGCCCAGCTTATACAGTTAGTAATACTTTCAAATACTGCATATATGAAAGCTGCTAAGAGAGTAAATCTTAAAAGTTTTCATCACAAGAAAAAAATGGTAACTGTGCATGAAGATGGATATTAACTAGACTTACTGTGGTGATCATTTTGCAATATATACATATAGCAAATCATGTTGTATACCTGAAACTAATATAATGTTATATGTCAATTATACCTCAGTATAATAAGTATATATCATAGTGATCTGCATTTTCTAAGTTATGCTCCACTTATAATTATCATCAAATATTGACCATATTCCCTGTCGTGTACAATATATCCTTGTGGTTTATTTTGTCCCTCTTCCCGTCCTTGTCCCTGATGGTAACCACGAGTTTTCTATCAGTAATGCTGGGTTTTCTGTTGTTGTTATGTTTAACAGTTTATTTTTTAGACTCCTCATGTAAGTGACATTATGTAGTATTTGTCTTTCTCTGACCTATTTCACTTAGCTCATCCATGTTGTTGGAAACAGCAAATTTTCATCCTTTTTTATGACTGAGTAGTGCTCCTATATGCACACCACATATTCTTTATCTTCATCTGTTGATGGACACTTACTGCTATGAACAATGGGATACATGTATCTTTTCCAATTACTGTTTTGGGGTTCTTTTTTGATTATATATATACCCATGAGTGGAATTGCTTGCTCATATGGTAATTTTATTTTTAGTTTTTGAGAAACCTCTATACTGGTTGCCATTGGGCCTGCACCAATTTAAATTCCCACCGGCAGTGTAAGAAGGTTCCCTTTTCTACACCTTTTCACAGGTGTTTATTATTTGTAGTCTTATACCAAGGGAACATTTCACGCAAAGATGGGCTCAATAAAGGACAGAAATGGTAGGGACCTAACAGAAGCAAAAGATATTAAGAAGAGGTGGCAAGAATACACAGAACTGTACAAAAAAGTTCTATAAAACACAGATAATCACAATGGTGTGATCACTCACCTAGAGCCAGACATCCTGGAATGTGAAGTCAAGTGGGCCTTAGGAAGCATCACTACAAACAANGGGAGGCCCTTCTGATGACAATAGCAGGTACCGGATGAGGCTGTTCCGAGGGAGCTGAGTCACAGACAAGCGGCCTCACAAACGGAATGACTAACAAACACAGCAGGTGCCGGTCCCACAAAAATGGGGCTGGGCGGTGGTTAGCGGAGTGAGAGGGTGGAGCAGAGGGAGGAGGGGCGCTCAGGGCCCAAGCAGGGGACCCGAAGACTCTCGCCTTGGGATGGCTAACCAGCTGACATTTCCAGGAGGTCTTTTAGGCTCAGCCCCTCTCTACCATTTCCCTGGACCTGGAAACCAGCAGGATTCCAGGCTGTCCCTACTTCCGTGCTACATGGGTCTCTGGGCAGACGTGCATGTCGTATCAGGAAATATAGATCAGGATTAAACCACGGGGCATCTTTTCTGTATTACAGAGAGTAGAGATTCAAGTTCAGAGTCTTGTTTGTGACCCTGGCTGAGTCCTCTAGTGAGGAATATCAACCCTGAATATTCATTGGAAAGATTGATGCTGAAGCTGAAGCTCCAATACTTTGGCCACCTGATGTAAAGAGCTGATTCCTTTGAAAAGACCCTGATGCTGGGAAAGATTGAAGGCAGGAGAAGAAGAGGACAACACAGGATGAGATGGTTGGAGGGCATCACCAACTCAATGGACATGAGTTTGAGTAAACTCTGGGAGTTGGTGATGGACAGGGAGGCCTGGCGTGCTGCAGTTCATGGGGTTGCAAAGAGTCGGGCATGACTGAGCGACTAAACTGAACTGAACTGTGGTGACAGCCATTCTGACAGGTGTGAGATGATATTTCATTATAGTTTTATTTATTTTTAAACAGTCATTTGGCTGTTTCAAGGCTTTAGCTAGTGCACACAGGATTGTCAATCTTCACTGCAGCACATGGAATCTTTAGCTGTTGCATGTGGGATATAGTTCCCTGACCCAGTATTGAAGCCAGGGCCCCTGCATTGGGAGCACAAAGTCTTAGACACTGGATCACCAAGTCCCTCATTATAGTTTTAATTTGCATTTCTCTGATGATTAATGATGTTGAGCATATTTTCATGTTCTGGTTGACCATCTATCTGTATGTCTTCTTTGGAAAGATGTATGTTCAGGTCGTCTGCCCATTTTTTAATCAGGCTGTCTTTTTGATCTTGAGTTGTATGAGCTGTTTATATATTTTGGATAATAATTTCTCATAGGTCATTTCATTTGCCAATTTTTGTCCCATTCTACAGGTTGTCTTTTGATTTTGTCAATGGTTTCCTTTGCTGTGTGTGCAAAAGCTTTTAAGTTTAATTAGGTCCCACTTATTTTTGCTTTTATCTCCTTTGATTTAGGAGAAAGATCCAAAAGAAAATTTTGCTATTTATGTCAAAGAGTGTTCTACATAGGTTTTCTAGGAGTTTCAAGGTTTCTAGCCTTACATTTATGTCTTTAATCATTTTGAGTTTATTTTTGCCATTTGGATGGACTTGAGTGGCACTATACTAAGTGAAATAAGTCAGACAGAAAAAAACAAATGCTGCATATCATTTATATGAGGACTCTGCAAAACAGAATAGACTAGTGAATGTAACGAGAAGGAAACAGACTTGCAGATATAGAAAACAAACTAGTGGTTACCAATGGGGAGAAGGACGAGGGGAGGGCAACTTAGGGAGAGGAGACTAAAAGACACAAGCTGTTATGTATAAAATAAGCTAGAAGGATGTTACATAGTAGTATAACACAGGGAATATAGCCAACAGTATCTGTAAATGGAGCATAACCTTTAAAAGGTGTGATCACTCTGCTGTATATCTATAATATTACATCAACTATACTTCAACAGAAAGGAGACATAACCACTGATACAGCAGGCTTTAAAAGATAAAATAATACTATAAGTGGATGTTGAAACTACAACAATATTAAAGAAATATTCTCTAACTGGCTGCAGGATTATGTATGCACAATCAGATAACATTTGGAACATATGTTTGATGGTATGTTAGATATATGAGCTCATGACTATTATAGTTCTTAGTTTCTTTTATCAGTATGGTCTGTATTTGTGTGTGTGCTTAAAAAATATTGGACACCTACTATGTGCTACATAGTTTATAAATATATCTAGCCTCCTTTCAGGTAGGAGTGTATGAGTCATTTTTCAGCAGAGCAATATGAAAAAGGCATAAATGACTCATTTTTTTAACAAAGTTAGCCTTCAAATCCAGATTTTTCTGGCTCCAAAGCTACAGTAATTCATATATAAGTTGATTGTACATATAACGTATATTTATTTAAAAATAACAAATATAAATGAGAATAATTTTGAAACAATCATACTGCCCTGTGAAATGAATATCTACTCTAAAAGCAACTGTCTTAAAGAAGGCCAGAATTCCCTAAAGAAGAGAACTGGACACTCTAATTATGATCGCCTGAAAGCTAACTGGTTGCCAAGCACAACCTCCAGCTCCACCCGAGCAGGAAGCCTGGACTGAGGCCCTGGGCAGCTGCAGAGCAAATCCTACCGCCTGCCCAGTCAGGGAAGCAGGTGGGCAGTCCCACCCAGCAGGGGAGCATGGCCCTGGGCCCACCTGACCAGGATGCCCTAAAAGTGACCCTGGGGAGCCTCCGAGCCCAGCACCACATCCCAAATTAAATACAGTAACTATGTGAGCTGACGGATGTGTTAACTAGTCTAATGGTGAAAATCATTTTGCAATACATACAAGTACCAAATCACCCAACTGTACACCTTAAACTTGTGTAAGTGTTACATGTCAATTACAACTCAATAAAGCTGGGGAGAAATGAGAACTCAGAAGTGTTTGTACATAAAGCAACCTAACGGTTTTTAATTAAATGGATATTAATACAATCTCTCTGAAAAGGCTGCAACAAGCTGTTTTCATGTTGGTATGTGATCATTTCACATTTTAATGAATCTACCATCTTACCTGGTTCACTTCCCAAGTTCACTTCCTCATCTGACAAAACTAACCTAAAGTAAAACAGAAAAATGAAAACATTTTGGTTAAAATACATTGGGAACTCATACTCTACAAACAGTTCTGTATGGCTTAAAAAAGTTTTTTTTTTAACTGAGGAGGCAGGTGTCTGGCAGATATCCTAAAATGCGAGACAAATCTTTTCTAGAGCTACACAGACTGTAAAAGTAACCCTTCACCTCTTACTCTTTAAATGTACACATACTGAGTGTTGACTGAAGCACCAGGTACCACGTCCAGCGTGCTGAGCACTGTGTGAAACACAGCACGCACAGAGCATCCGTCAGCAAAGCCACAGAGTAGGAAGTTTAGTTTCCAAGCATTAAAAGGTTTTTGCTCAAGAATTCTTGGCAAGTAAAGTATTGGGAGGTTGGGGTTGACGCATACACACTGCTGTATTTAAAACAGAAGACCAACAAAGACTTACTATTTAAAACATTAAAAATTTTTAAAAAGAGATTAAAAAAAAGTACTTTGGAACTACAGGGAATGAACAACTGTAGAAAAAATGGAGTACTTTATTTTGAACAAGAATTTGATGTTTACAAAATAAGGCACATTTGGTTAAAACATTCTCGACCAAAACTAATTTTGGAAAGTGTTAATATCCATCTGGTATAATAATGTAAAAAAATGAGATAAAGAAAGTTTTATCCTTTTTGGGGGGGGGGGGCTGTTCTGAGCAGCATGTGGGATCTTGTTTCCCAGACCGGGGATGGAACTCATGCACTCTGCATTGGAAGCGCAGAGTCTTAGCCACTGGATCGCCAGAAAAGTCCCGAGAACCATTTTTCATTATTCTTGCGGTATAAACTCACAACTCTAGTGTTGGGTTTTTTTAAAACAAGCCTTTAAAGACACTTACAAGCAATACAGTATTTATTTGCAAATACCACAGAAATAAATCTACAGAACAAACAGTTTGATATGGAATGAAATTTTCAACGATGGTATACACAGATTGTGTTTTAAACAGTTTGGACAGAAGAGAGGGTGAGGTACTTTGGAACCTGTTAGTTAACTTGAAAGGTAGCTTTCATAATGCTGAAGATGCAGGAGAAGATTCCGAATAAAACTTTCATAAAATGTGATAACAAATATAGTTACTAAATTAATAAACAATGTACAATTTAAAGTCTCAATATATGTAACTAAGTTAATACATTTAATTTATATTTATACACTTGATTACTTAATCTATATTCTAAAACATCTGTATATCCAAGGTGGTAAAAAAAAAAAATTTGTTTGGAGATCCCCCTAGAGAAAAGGGTGAAATGCCTATATTTCCGATCACCTTTCACTCAACAATATAGTGTTGTCATTGTTCGGGCCTATTTCTGGGTTCATCATTATACTCAGTGCAATCTAGTTAAAATGACAAGTGGCAGGTCTGCAAGGAAAACAAAGGTAACATGTAACTAACGGGAAACAGACGACATGAAGGATGAGCACAGAAGGGCCTCCATCTCTAGGAACCAATCCCAGTGCCCTCGGTGTTGTCTTGGAGATAAACTGTCACCAGCTTCCATCTCATAGCTACCAACACCTATCTCTTTCTTTTTCAAGCTGTCCCTTCTGGGACTCACTAGAGACAGGCTCTGAGTACAAGACCCAGTCTTCTACACTGAATAATTTGGGGTTATCACCCAATTGTTCTATATTCCTATCACCAACTTTGCCTGCCATGCCAAAACTGGGGTGAGGGGGTAAGTTTCAGAGCAAATGTCTAACGTTAATTGGAAAAATGACATAGAAGTATTCAGTATTTGGTAAAGCAGAGAAGAAACAACTCTTTCCAAATACATAATACAATGATATCCAGAACTTCCCAGCACAGTCTGTAACTTTTGTCCGCTTACCTACTGAGGTTTTCAGGGAGAGAACCGTCTTCTCTTCGTCTCTCCCTGTGGCCTTCAGTAAGCGTCACTGGAGAGTCTTGTAGTTGCTAAGCATAAGAAATTTAGTGTTAAGTAGGTGGAAGGAATCTTTTTCTCTCTTTGTGCAAACAAAAAAAGAGAATAACAATTCTAAAGAACAATATAAAACAGGAAGAGTTCTGAAGTGAAGAGTGGGAGATGTGTGCTGATATAATTTGACCCGAGCCCTGTGTCCTTTGCATCCTGGCTGCCCGTGGCCACGACATACACTGTGGACTCGTCTCAGGGTCCACCACTCTAAGATATGCCACAGAAGACCTCACTCTGTTGCTAGCCAGCACTGTCACGCGAAAGATTTTCAACTTCAAGTCTGAGCTGAAATTGGATATGAAAGTTGCCTAAATACACAGTACGTTATCCAGTAAAACATTAACATAGAAAAGTAAAAAGCCAACACACACACACAAGAACAACAACAACAACAAACCCCAAATCTATCAGATTGGAAGATGCTATGTCAGGACCTGACTTAAAAATCTACACCAAGCCCCAGTAACATATGGTTATAGGATATGAACCCATCACAAACATCACATCCAGCTTGGGCAAACTTAACATTCAAGCTCTACTGAAAATAAAGCAGAATGATTAGTTCAAAGGAACTGAAACATAGCCTACTAGAACGGAAGAGATGATGAACACGGTGCATCTCAGCTGGATAAGCCACACACAGAAAGCTGACAGGAAGAGCACGTTTTGCATGTAGGTGTTATGGAAAGAGCTGATCTAATTCGGTATGCCTCAGCAGCAATCACACATACACAATGGCCAAAACTGGCATAATGGTACCATGGATCACATCTATGACATAAGTGTAAAAGGAAAGCAACAAGACTTTAGCTCCTCAAATTGTCAGGTAGGTAATGTGGTCATATTTGAAAACATATGACCACTTTCCATCACCTGTTCCTCTTTCCATTACCTTTTCTTTTTGCATTTTAATTTTCTTTTCACTTCTTCTTTTATTCCCCTCTCCCCCAATCTACTAATATCATGAGCCCGCCAGTAGTGTGCCCATGTATTTGTCTAGTGCTGCTGGCAGCATTTGGAATCTGGGAACTTCATAAAAATGATTAGCTGAAAGAGTATAGGAAAATGATTCCCAGTGTTTTGTAATTTTGAAATTAGGCTTAGCAAAAAGCAGTCTCAAAGTTATCATCCAGATGAAGTGTCATATATCTAAGAAAAGAGCACTGAAAGGAATGTACCTTGAGAGCTACAAAGTCGTATGGATGAAGGCCTGTACAGGGCCCATGAATCTGGGACATCATTCGAGCTGTTTTCTCCCAGAATCCAAGCAGTGTTCTCTGCAGAGAAAGAAAAGGCGACACTACAGTCCTGCTTCCTCTCCTCTTTTCAGGGCTACTTTTCCTCACTGTCGTAGACAAATAGTTGTTGTCAAGTAACAAGAAGCAGGGTCTACAATCCACTTCCAGGTCTGGGGAACCAGGAAGCTCTGTAGACAGTACCCCTGCACAGGACCGGCACTGTGTCTGCGTGAAACGTCGCCCCTGTGCATACGGCACTGACACACACCCCGAGCCAGCCAGGGAGGAGCTGCAGCCAAGAGAATGAAGCTGGCAGAGTAGACCGCCTTCCGAGGAATCCAGGAGAAAAATGTTCAAAGCACCAAAATATCATATTTGCATCAGAGCTATGTGTGTAAACTTTTATGCTGGTAAGCCTGTACAAACCTTTATTAATTGGAGTAAAATAATTTGTACCATTAAATTTGGACTTTCATTTAGGGTTCAAGAAAGACTTGTCAAAAAAAAAAGTGTTATCAAGCTAACTCCAGTAATTGAACATTTTCCTCGCTGCTTCAAGGCTCCCGTTCAAAGTGAGGGGGTGAGTGGGAAGGACAGAGGAGAGCTGGGCTGACAGCTGCTGAGTTTCTAGCATGTGCTACACAGATTACCATGTACTTTGATTCTCAAGTGTCATTTGTCTTGATTCTTAAATTCCACAGAATTGAACTGAATTAGGTAGATTCCTTAAAAGCAGCATTGAATGCCATTTCCTTTAGTTGATTACTATTCTCCTATGCAAAAGTTTATTCTATTTTGCCACTGACTGATAAAAATCAGTAACTGTTACCTGTTAATATCTAACTTACTTATTGTATGCTATTTATGTGTGACTTGGAATAAAGCAAGCACAAATGAGACTTCTGAGATTACAGTGGGATGGAATGGGGATTTGGCAGAACTGAACCTAAGACTTAGAAAACCTAAGTTTTTAAGCCCAACACTACCATTTCCTTTAAGTCTCATTTAATTTTCACTTTCCTCATCCACCAATGATAGAAAAGTGTTAAACTTTTGGGTCACAGCATCTCTGCTTCAAATGAAATTGTGTGTAGAACTAGTTCAAAGTGGAGCATCTCTGAATGAACCAGGCTAAGAGGCCTTGAATCCTGACTCCTCTCAAGCTCCTAAATGCCTGTCTGTCTCTCCTTTCTAGGACATCAAAGGGAATAACGTGAAGTCATGGGAGTAGGTAATCGCTAAGGTCTTTTCCAGTCTAGTATTCTATCATTCTGAATGTCATAACCTTAGTAAGTCAAGTTTAAAAAATCAAAGGAACCTGATAAATTATACAATTTTTTTGCACCCTTTAGACAACTTTTAAAAAGGAATCTCACCACTCATCTTTTTACTGCAAGGACATGCTGACGATGGAGGTGGGTACCTGATAGGTAGCGAGTGAATGAGACAACATATTGCAGCGACTAGCTCCAAGTAAATCCACTTTCTGACAAACATCCATCTTTAACTTGTCAAAAGAAGTTTTGCTATTTCTCACTTGAATCTGTACCTGCAACCACAAAAATGTAACTTATTAATACTTCTAATATAGAAATAAATGTACCACACAGGTTCATGATACATGTTTTCAGACACATGAAATTGTAACAAAGAAGATTCTCCTTCCCTGAATTAGTATTTCATGATTCATTGAAACGATTTTGGCTATTTTTGGTAACTGTGGGAGATTCTTTCCACCAGGTATCTTTATGCGGAGAAACTATGTGATGAAAGACAGAAAAAAAAGTATATAGCTAAGAAGAAAAAATAGATTCCAAGTAAAAAGAAACATCCAAAACTACTGATAGATAATATTTAGCTAAGAAAGAGTAGAAGAATAAATGGAAAGGGGGCACAGTTAAAGTGTTGTAAAGCGTTAATAATAGTTCTGAATCATACAGATGTATTTATGAACTTAAACAGGCTTATATTTCTTACACGTAAGGTGAGTCATTTGTCAGTAAGTCATGTGAAAACTCAACTTTATATGTATTCATTCATTCATTCAACGAATACTTAAAAGGTATATGCTATGTGCCAGGCACTGCTCAAGGAACGGGGATACCGTGGTGAACAATGTTCTTCACCACCATCCCTGAGTGAGGGGGCACAGGAAAAAAAGGAAGTAAATAAATATATAAGATGGTCTCAAGTCACAAAGATAGCATATGCATGACACAGAACTGAGCGACAGCTTTTGGGAAGATGGTCAGCAAAGCCACTGGTGAGCTCAGGGCATGATGTCTGAACTGGGACAGGAAGACAAGGAACGGATGAGCGGACCATGCTAAGACCCCCGAGGAGCGCCAGCTAGACCCAGGGAAAAGGAAAGACAAGTTCTACGTAAGAGGGGGTGTCTGCAGAAAGGGAAGGAATGGGGGAGAGCATATTCCTTCCTGAAGCACAGACAGTAAGCATGAGATGTGGCTGCACAAGGCCCCGGGAACGAAGTGTGCAGGACTATTTGGGTCTAGATGGGAGGTGTGGGTCCTACTCTTTGTTTGTTTAATTGAAGTGAAATTCACATAACGTGCACTTAGCCACTTAAAACTGTGCAATTCAGTGATATCAGTACACTCACAGTGCTGTGCCAGCGCTCCCTGGGATCGCATCTGCCAAGGATTACAAAGGGGACAGAATGACAGGTGGCCTGAAGCCACGTGTCCACCTACTGCCCATGTCTCGTGGAGAAATCAATGAGGCAAAGCACTTGTAACAGTCAGTAGAAAGAGTCCATCTACATTAAATATAAGTATGAATTTTTATTACAGCTACTTTAAATAGTCATAAAATGGAGTGAATACATTTTTAAAAAATATTTATTTGGCTGCACCAGGTCTTAGTCATGGCATGAGTGATCTTTTAGTTCAGGCATGCAGCATGCAAACTCTTAGTAGGGGCATGTGGGATCTAGTTCCCTGACCAGGGATGGAACCCAGGCCCCTTGCATCGAGAGCATGGAGACTTAGTCCCTGGACCACCAGGGAAGTCCCAGAGTGAGTGAATTTTACTATTCATGTATGGTGAATTTTACTATTCATGTATGGTAAATTCAGGGGATACAATTTATAATAAGTAGATTATTTAGCTTATTTAACTTATATGCAGAGTATATCATGTGAAATGCCAGGCTGGATGAAGCACAAGCTGGAATCAAGATTGCCGGGAAAAATAATCAAGAACCTCAGATACACAGATGACAACACCCTTATGGGAGAAAGCGAAGAACAACTAAAGAGCCCCTTGATGAAAGTTAAAAGAGGAGAGTGAAAAAGTTGGCTTAAAGCTCAACATTCAGAAAACTAAGATCATGGCATCCTGTCCCATCACTTCATGGCAAATAGATGGGGAAACAATGGAAACAGTGAGAGGCTTTATTTTCTTGGGCTCCAAAATCACTGCAGATGGTGACTACAGCCAGGAAATTTAAAGATGCTTGCTCCTTGGAAGAAAAGCTATGACCAATCTAGACCCATATTAAAAAGCAGAGACATTACTTTGCCAACAAAGGTCTGTCTAGTCAAAGGTATGGTTTTTCCAGTAGTCACATATGGATGTGAGAGTTGGACTATAAAGAAAGCTGAGTGCTGAAGAATTAATGCTTTTGAACTGGGGTGTTGGAGAAGACTCTTGAGAGTCCCTTGGGCTGCAAGGAGATCCAACCAATCCATCCTAAAGGAAGTCAGTCCTGAATGTTCATTGGAAGGACTGATGCTGAAGCTCAAACTCCAACCCTTTGGTCAGCTGATGTGAAGAACTGACTCACTGAAAAGACCCTCATGCTGGGAAAGAATTGAGGGCAGGAGGAGAAGGGGATGACAGAGGATGAGATGGTTGGATGGCATCACTGACGTGATGGACATGAGTTTGAGTAGGCTCTGGGAGTTGGTGATGGACAGGGAAGCCTGGTATGCTGCAGTCCATGGGGTCGCAAAGAGTCGGACACGACTGAGTGACTGAACTGACTGAACTAATATGTTCACACATACAGTTGCTTTAAAAGTTTGTGGTCAAACTTATGTATTGTGCAGAATGAAAAATTTGGTAACCTTCACTTATAATTAATGATCATTTTACATGAGTTTTTACTCAAGTACTTTCCCTACTTAATGAATGATTTTCCTCCTGCAAACCACTCCTAAAAGCCCGGGTAAACAATATTTGAAAGGCAGTTATATCTATTATGCCAAATGGTAGGGGAAAAAAAAAAAAGTGTGTGAAAACCTTTTGTATTTACTTCAACTGGCGATTTCCAAGCAACTTAAGAATTTGTAATATAACACATTTTCCAAAACTAGTCTGATATTTTATGCTCTTGATTAAGTTATTCTGTAGAGGTTCAAGAAAATTAAGTTATTCTGTAGAGGTTCAAGAAAATAAATAAAAAGGATGTATTTTCATACTTTTCGGAACTTTTCCACTTGTTTTAAGGTGTCTGGGTCCAGTTCTTGAGATACGTCTTTCATCCAGAGCAAGGCTCCTCTGTATTCTGTGCGTGCCTGCTCCATCCGATTAATTGTCGTCAAGGTATCAGATACTGCCCTTTGACTGAATGTTGCTACTTCTTGCTGAAGGCGAGACAGGGGAGTATACAGAGCCAATCTAGTGACAGAGAGGTAAAAATCAGAGGAATGTACATCCCACAAGCAAACTAAAGACAACCAAAAAGCAGAATTTGCTCTCAAGATGTGTCTATAAACAGGAAATTATTAAGATGCCTAAGAAAATTAGAAAGCAATAAGGATCATACAGCTAACTTTGAATTGTTAATAAAGGTATGTTTATATTTTTCCTTTTTCTTATCTTAGGAAATACATCATTTTTGCAACATTTTGGGATGTTTACCATGCATAAATGATCTGCCAAGTAAATCTGCCATTTAGAAAAGAATTTCATGAGTAAATGAGATCCTGTATTTATAAAGCATATTCTTATAAGCAGAAAGCTGGGGTTTTTTGAAAAATTGAAGGAAAATCTGGGTGTTAGAAAAGTAGATAAAATGCTAGATGAGTTAATGAGGACAAAATCCATAGCATCTGAGGATGAGAACAAGAAAAAAAAAAAAGGATTTAAGAAACGTAAGTCAAACCCAGTTTCTCTGTCTGCTTCTGACTCTGACTTAGTGAATGGAGGGACTTATATTTCATGTCTCTCGGTCATCTCCTTAAAGATGGACTTTTGCACTAATGTGGTATTTCAGCATAAAGCCACTTAAGTTATACAATGCCATTTACAGGTCTGATAAAGCCTATTTTTATTTTTCTCTAGAAAAAGGAAATATGTTGGCTGAATTTAGTAATTGCAGGAGATTCTTTGTAACAAGTATCTTTATGCTAAAAAGTTATAAAATAATAAATGTAAAGTATATAATTAAGAAGAAAATATTTCCTCTGCTTAAAAAGACAAATTCCAATGTATTCATAGATGGTACAGTATCCAAAAAGTGAAAAATATATACACATATTTAAACTTGAACCACTGTGTGCCTCTATTTCACTAAGGCACTTAAGGAATTTAAATACAGGCCTAAAGGCTATTTCCAGGAATTAAGCAACCTATGAATATAAAATTTTAAGTAGTGATTTTAAGTGCAAAATAAGAGTTAGGCATCAAAACAATTATATACTGCAATATACAATTCTTCTCTTTTAACCTTCCACTGGAAACAAGAGAAACCTTTACAAATATTCAAATTTAGCTACATACATCAAAACTGTCATACTGACTATAAAGTTAAAGATGATGCAAAACCATGATAAACCTTTGTTTGGCTGAAGAACAGAGTGCCTTGCCAGTGGCATCCATCATTTTGCCAGCCTGCGTTGTATCCCGTTCTGCTTGGAACTTTAAAAAGAGCCCTAGTTCGTTTTCTTCCTCCGATATAACTAGGGGAAAAATTACAGTATAGTTCATTGTTTCATTTCATCATTTGTTTAAAACACACACATACACAACTAACATTCTCACAGCAATAATTCTCTATACTTGACAATTACTCAGGGGCAGGAGGAGAGAGACTTGTTTTTACAATGTAAATTCCTGGGCTCTGTTTCCAGAGACACTGATTTTACAGATCTGAGGATCTGCCTTCTTTTCTTTTTTTTTAAACAAGAATTCCAGATGGTTTTGATCAGTGACTCCATAGACCTCACTTTGGGAGAGACTGATCTTTAGTCAAAAAAAAAAAAAAAATCCAAAATGATAAAACCACAGATGACACATTTTCAAATGTGCAGAGATGCACATTAGGATCATTGGCACTGATAAAGTATTTGGTTTCCTATTTTTATTCTTGTCTCCCATCCTGGCTTCATCTTCTATGCTCAGTATCACAGATTCACAATTGTCCCACAATTTTGCTGCTAGAACCCTAAAAGTTGTCACTTTTAGTGCACTACTCCTCCCAAGTGTGGTCCGTGGACCCGTGCCAGGCTAGTCCAATGGTCTGGTCTGTGGGTCACTTGCTACCAGCTTGTGACAAACACTCAGAGTAAGATACCATTAAGAAGCTTTTTACCTGTTTGACTATCTTGTATCTGTTGACTCTAGTCACCAAAAAGTATGCATTTGTGCATGTCTTCTTTAATTTGGTTTTTCTAAAAATTTTTATTGTATTTTCAAAAGTGTCAGCTGACAACAGATTGAAAGTGAAACAATGACCCTCTTCACCACCAAGTTTTAGAAGTACTGTTCTAGTGGAAGATGCCTTTTCATCACAGTAAGATCAACAGGTGAGGGGAGCCCATAAAGTGTCCAAACTGTGAGCTTAAAGTGAAAAACAGGACAATGTCAGGCCTCGTTTCACTCTAGTTTACTGATGGAAAAACTGAAGTTACAAACTGAAAGGGAAGCCCCTTTAGCCCCTCTGAAGCAGCAGGGGAACTCGGGCCTTCTCACTTGCTAGCTGTCCCCTCACTAGTCCCCCCACCGGTAGGGCCTACAAGGAAGCCCCCAGGAGGGCACGGAGGTGTTTGGGAAAGGGCGTCTACACATTCTGTAGTCTCGTCTTTGAAAAAAAATGTGCTGTTTTATGAACAGCTTGCCTAATCAAGAGTGGACTGAATCAGATAAATCTTGTTAATATTCTGATTACTTCAGAGATGTACCAGTTACACATTTCCTCTGAATCAGAACTTCATAAAATATGCCTCAATGAAAACTACTAGAAAAAAATATTAATTTGTAGATGATGATCCAGAAAAGCCTCACAGAACATGGACTACCTCCTTATCAAATATCAACTGAACATTAACCATAACTGAGCCTCATCCTTATCACTGCAGAAAGGGAAGAAGATGAAGCTGAGTCTGTGCTGATTTGGTGTTGAGACCTGAGGCCAAAACCCACCGAGACCCTACTCCTGTGTGTCCCTCCCCAGTCAAGAGATTCTCATAAAGGTTTACAGTGCTGGAAGAATCTATGAATTGTCTGACGTTAGTCTCAACAGAAGATCTATTAACCAAACAGTCTTCAAGAAATCACACACTTATATACAATACTAAAGAGAAAGCTATGACAAACCTAGAGAGCATATTAAAAGGCAGAGACATTACTTTGCTAACAAAGATCTGTCTAGTCAAAGCTATGGTTTTTCCAGTAGTCACGTATGGATGTGAGGGTTGGACCATAAAGACGGCTGAGCACCAAAGGATTGATGCTTTCGACTGTGGTGTTGGAGAAGATTCTTGAGAGTCCCTTGGACTTTCATTGGAAAGACTGATGCCGAAGCTCCAGTACTTTGGCCACCTGATGCGAAGAGCTGACTCATTAAAAAAGACCCTGACGCTGGGAAAGACTGAAGGCAGGAGAAGGGGGTGACAGAGGATGAAATGGTTGGATGGCATCACCGACTCAATGCACGTGAGTTTCAGCAAGCTCTGGGAGATGGTGAAGGACAGGGAAGCCTGGTGTGCTGTAGTCCATGAGGTCGCAAAGAGTCGGACATGACTGAGTGACTGAACTGAAGTGGAACATTTCAGGATAGAGAGATGTACGTATATAGATTTTATCATATACTTTCTCTTTATTGTTGTTCAGTCACTCAGTCGTGTCTGACTCTTTGTGACCCCACGGACTTTAGCACACCAGGCTTCCCTGTCTTCAGGCTTCCCGGAAATGCTCCTCCAGCATGCTCAATGATCTGGTGATTCCAGGACAAAATGCAGGATGTACAAACGGGTCAGTGTTTCTTTCCGTTTCCATTTCTATCACAGAACTCCCTTGGTCCAATGACTGCTTGATTCAATGACCCCCTTGGTCCATTTCACTGCTTGGTAAAATATTTAAGGTCCTTAGCAATCCGACTGGAACCTTCCTTTGCTTGTATATCACCCTATTATTCTCCATTACAAACTCTTCGTCATGCAGACTGTTCTCACCCTTCAACTTTATTCCCTTGATTCTAACTTCCTTTCTTCCCCACATATTCTTCTACAAACTCTTTGAGTTTTACTTACGTTCCCATCTAAGTAACTGCCTTTACCAATCTCTCTAATACAGTTATTTTTCACTCCAAGAGAATTCAGAGGCATGTCTGCATCAAAATCCTGAATTCAATTACATACTATTCTTTGTCTCTTATTTTATTACAGAAAGTTGTTTCTCCAACTGTTTCCTGGGGAAAAATACATAGTTTTACACATGGCAGGCACTAAAAAAAATTACCATGCTATAATGGATTTCCTGCCTTACTGGGACAATATATGCACTCTGATTATAAACTTTTGAGACTAATTTACATTGCTGCACAAAGAAATCATTCATTGAGCAAATATGCATTGCATATAGACTATATGCCAGACAATGTTTCGAGGCCAGGAGATGCAGAAATAAACACACAGATTGCCATCCTTAAGGAGAGCATATTCTAGCGGAAGTAAGAAAAACAATAAATAAAATGTACAGAATGTTGAATACTGTTAAGTAGATAGAGATTGATGAGAAAGAGGGGTATGTTTCATTTCAGATACCGGAGTCAGAGAAGGACTCACTAATAAGGTGACACTTGACCAAATACCTAAAGAGGATTAGGTCTGCAGATAAGGCAGGAGAAGAGATTCAAAGATCGAGTTCTAACCAAACAGGTGAAGAAAAGAAGAGATTCCAGCAATCCCAGGATACTGAGAAGGAATGACCATCAAGAATAAATCCAGGAATGTTGGTACCTGGAAGCCAAGTGAAGAGAGTAGAGTGTCTCAAGGAGGAGGGAATAATCAACTGTGTTAAATAATGTGATAGTGACTGAGAATTGGTCCAGAATTAAGTTCTTTATGACTATGACAAGAGCGATTTGGTGGAGTGATGGGGATGAAAACTTGACCAGGGTGAGTAGAAGAGGAGGAGGAGAAGGAATAGAGACTGTGTGTACAGATAATTATGTCAAAATTTCCTGTGAAAGAAGCAGAGAAATGAAGGGGAACTGCTAGAGCAAGTAGGCATTGAGAAAGAGAGCTTTTAAATGATGGAAAAAAATCCACTTAAGACTCTGGGGAGGAAAACTAAACTCAGCAAAATCAATCTGTGTCAGAGGAGTTGATGAATTGAGCATGCTGGGGGATTTCAGAGTAGATCACTGTAAATATTCATTTTTGTCATAAGAAACGATCCCAAAATAGTTCAGTAAATTACTATTTTTACATTACATCTTTCATCTTCAAAAATGCAAATGAATATTTATTTTAAGCAGGAATTGTTGGTGGATAGATATCTATGATTTCATACCATTGAGTCTTAGCTGATATTTCTCAACTATCTTCAGAAGTTCAGTACATGTCTCTTGAATGGAGTGAAAAACCTTTGAAACATAAATTTTATTAGGACAATTTAAAAGAACCATAAACAAATACAAAATATAAAAAACACTTCAAAAGCAAAACATTTTCTTATAGGTATTGTCTATTTTCCTTGACTGTGATACACTTCAGTTTTGGTTTTATTTCAGATGTAGAAAGCACATTTAGCTTCCTGCCATTAGAGCTGGAAAAAATGATGATAAATACATGGAGGCTAATAAAAATTTATGACTGTGGAGTTTGTCCTCCCCTCAGCTCCAAACTATCTAAATAGCAAAAAGGTAACTCTAATTTTTAAGATGTACATTAAATACCATCTACCACAGATGAAAAGAGTATAGATAGTTTTAGAAAATATTAAATAACTCAGAGTTTGGCTTTTCTCCAATATTGGTCTAAGCAAAATAGGTCAATGAATTTACCATAAAAATTAAATAATGTGTTATAACAACAAAAATAAATTACTTTCAGATTATTTTTGTTTAGAATTTTCCATGAATATTAATCCCCTCATTACCACTGCTGCCAATAGCTAACAAAAAAATAAAATATCTAATAGACTCCCATTTCAAACTTAGTTGCTCAGTCGTGTCCAACTCTTTGTGACCCTGTGGACTACAGCCCGCCAGCTCCTCTGTGCATGGATTCTCCAGGCAAGAATACTGGAGTGGGTTGCCATGCCCTCCTCCAGGGGATCTTCTCGACCCAGGGATCAGACCCAGGTCTCTCGCACTGCAGGCGGATTCTTTACTGACTGAGCCACCAGAGAAAGTGAAAGTGAAAGTTGCTCAGCCGTGCCTGACGCTGCAACCCCATGGACTATACAGTCCAGGGAATTCTCCAGGCCAGAATACTGGAGTAGGTAGCCTTTCCCTTCTTCAGGGGATCTTCCCAACCCAGGGATCGAACCCAGGTCTCCCCCAGTGCAGGTGTATTCTTTACCAGCTGAGCCACCAGGGGAGCCCCAGAATACTGGAGTGGGTAGCCTATCCCTTCTCCAGGGGATCTTCCCGACCCAGGAATCAAACAGAGCAGGGGTCTCCTGCACTGCAGGCGGATTGTTTACCGACTGAGCCACCAGGGGAGCCCACCTCTACAGTACTTTTGCTTTTATTTTGACGCTTGATCAGGCCAATGGAAGACTGGTAACAGACACTAAATTCTAAATGCAGGAGCAACCATCAACTTTCCACATAAGTTTAAGTGTGTTTGAGTTGCACGTGGTATATGTATTTGTGTGTGCGTTACTCGCTCAGTCGTGTCCGACTCTTTGCAACCCCACAGACTGTAGCCGCCAGGCTCCTCTGTCCATGGAATTCTCCAGGCAAGAACACTGGAGTGGCGTTGCCATTTCCTTCTCTAAGGGATCTTCCCAACCCAGGGATCAAACTTGGGTCTCCTGCATCACAGGAAGATTCTTTACCATCTGAGCCAGCAGGGAAGCCAAAGCTGCTTAAATCCATGTGGAAGGAGATTAGAAAAGAATACAAAAATGATAGTTCTATTAACACTATGATGAAGCAGTTACAGTTGATTTTCTTCCCCATGGGTCCTTAAAAGATATATATACTATTGCTTTTCATTTTCACAACAAAAATATTTTTCTGTTTTAGTGAGGTATAAAATTGTAATATATTTAAAGTGTACAACATGATAACCTAAGTACATACTTGATGCGTATGTATACTTGAAAATATTTCTCATTCTTAAAAAAGATAATACAATTGTGGGAGAAAGTTCTTGGCTGATTCCAAATAATTCTCTAATGGACAAAAATAACACTGAATATAAAATGTCACCCAAAGATTACCTATCAATGTGAAACAACACACAAAAAAATCTACTTCTGTGGGAATATATGCAGGGGCAGTGAAGAGTTCCCTTAGTGCTAAAACATACTACTTATAATAAAGTCCCTTCATTTTTTTTTTCACAATTTGTCACGCAATCCTAAGGAGAATACTTTTTAACACAAATAGTAAAATCTGGTTAAATAGAAATAATTTTTATTTTCATATTTGTTATGGCAGTGATCAAAGTTTATTTTTATAGAAAAAATTACTTAGTAAATTAAGACCTATTTTATTAGACCTATATTTTTAAGAATCCCAACAAATCATTATATTTCAGGCATAACAGAGTCCCTGGCTAGAAATGTTTGTAAAAGGTTACCTATATTAGGATATGCACATGGAATAAGCAAATCTTCATTAAATTCAGACTGCATTAATATACATGAGACCTTTCTTCTAATTAGCTTGATTACTTAAAAGACACATATAGGTTTAAAATTGTTTCATGGTAATTATTCCTTTTATTTAAAACAAAAAACAGCCAAAAATACATTATGACATACTTCAGTTAACTCCATCCTTAATAAGACAAACAAAAATTCCAACTTGTAAAATCCTCCCTCACTATTTGATTTCAGTTAATCTCTAATTGTCACTATGTCAGTGAGGTACAGACTTCACCTGAAAGTAGTACAAAAGACTAACGACACGATATATAATGAGTATATGGTCCCAGTTAGGAACATATTAATTCACTTACACAGCACAGAAAGTATTACACTAGTGCCAGAGAAATTATCTAGTTCATGATTTACCTAATATGAACTCCAGCTCTACCAATGCACGATTCGTGACAACTATGGCTTGCTTATCCAGAAGATCTGATCGACAAATGGATACAACTATTCTATTATCAAATTCTGCATGTATCCAGGTCAGCTCTTCAGTGTGAAAGCTTCTCATAGTCCCCCTAGTAGTCCCAAATAGTAACAGGTTATATGCGGTACGCGGAATCCTTATAAGAACTTACCTCAAGTTTAGCATCCAGTTCAGCATCAGAAGCCACCACATGCTCATCCTCCTTCTTTCCAGTTGCTTTGATGAAGACCTGTTTCGTTTTCCAGTATTTCTTCTGCATTCTACTGACTACTGACTGGTTATCTTCTGGTCTGTGCTGCCCAAAAAAATCCATGGAGTGACTACAAGAAACAGACTAAAATTAAATTTCTTTAAACATATTTTTTTTCATTTATTTTTATTAGTTCGAGGCTAATTACTTTACAATATTGTAGTGGTTTTTGTCATACATTGACATGAATTAGCCATGAAACATATTTTCAATAATAAGTATCTATTCAGCCAATATTTAGTTGAAAAACTGCAACAGAAACTAAACAGAGTGTTAATGCTAACAGCTAAACATGCTGACATTTACTGTGTATGGTCTAAATTTATACTTCAATTATAACTTGCATAAATAACAAGCAGAGAGATTAATGACACAGTAATTAGGTAACAAAATGATCAACTGTTATGATTTCCCAATAATGACTGGAAATAATTTTTTGTTTAACCAAGTGTCTACTTGCAGACACTTCTTAGTTTCTAAATTTTGCTTCTGTAAAAATATTGACAAATGAACTTATACACACATCCCTGCATCCTGCTATTATTTCCTCAGGAAATCTTCCGATGGATTAACTGCTATTTCAGAAGAAAACACATTTATTATATATCCTCAGCTATGCAAAGATTCAGATATATAGTCTTCTTTAAAAGTCACTTAAAGGAATATTTTAGCATTCAATAAATTAACAAAAACATAGATCTTAAGTATAAGGGAGACATGTAAAAGAAACAGAGGTGAAACCTGTAACCACTTGTAAACTTAAAAATTAATGTCTAAGTAATTCTTAACGCGGCTAACATGGCTACATTTAGGAAATGCAAATATGAAGTGTTCCTTAATGAAATGTAAAAAAAAAAAAAGAAATAATAATAGTTTTAAAAGCCCAAATTATTCCAATTAATGGTGGGAGGTAGGAACAAAAGGAGGTACTAAAGTGTGTGACTCATTTCGAGGGGAATCAACAGATGACTAATGTTGGGAAAGAAATAGAAGTTTCCTTTCTTTTTATTTTGAAGTAATTACTAATCAGATAAAAAGAGGGTGTCTAATTTCTAAATTACTAGGAGCAAAACAAGGCAGCAAGAAAAACTAGCAAAAACAAAAGAAGATTGAAAAAACAGGAGCAAGGCAACATAAATAGTGCAAACGAAGATCACAGAATAAGAAATTATACTACTTGGTATAATAAATGAAAGTTTCCTCTTAAATAATAGATTCAATAATTTCAAATCATAAAGAAACATAAAATACTATATCCAACTACATGCTATTCGGGATCCACCTAAAATAAGATGATAGAGAGAAGTATTAGATAAGACATACCAGGTAAATATACTACAAAGACAATGAAAACGGGGGTGGCTGCATTAACATCAGATAAAGTAGGTTTACATAAAAAGCATTATATGGAACAGAGACAAAAATATAGAGTCCACAGGTGGCCACTCTTCCAGATACTTGCTGGATATTCTCCTTCGTGTACCCTACTGGGTTTCTGGACACAGAGATCAGTCATCATTTAACTGCACAACCTCTCCTGTGCTATGTTGGGAACTTGACTGGACATGATTTGGGATAGAAAGCAGTACAGATGGATAATGGACTTGATGTAAGCATTACACTGTCTGACACACAGTCTTGAGGGAAAACTTGCAGTCCGTTTTCCCCCTTCAATTTCTGCCTGTCTTGAGTTGCTTTGATGGTTTTCAATTAGTTTTCCCATCCCACCAGCATGAGGGTCAGTCCAGTTTTATGACAAACTGCGGGTCTCCGCAACTACACTGATGCTTCATTGTTGCTTGTTTAGTTGCTAAGCTGTATCTGACCCTCTGCAACCCACCCCATGGACTGTAGCCTGCCAGGCTCCTCTGTCCATGAGATTTCCAAGGCAAGAATACTGCAGTGGGTTGCCATTTTCTTTCCCAGGGATCTTCCCAACCCAGGGATCGAACCCGAGTCTCCTACATCGGCAGGCGAATTCTTTACCACTGAGCCACTAGGAATGCAGCTATACTAGGTAAAATCAGTGAAGAGTACAAATCTTCACAGTATCAGAAGAGAACACCTCTTCCCTATCCCAACTCACATGCTAATGGAGCTCAAAAGTATACACCTGAAAAAAAAAAAAGTATATGCCTGGCCTCTCTCCATTCCCTCACTAGTTTCTTCATAGGAGACAAAGAGTAACTTATCTGACTGGTGGTGGTTTAGACGCCAAGTCGTCTCTGCCTCTTGTAACGTGATGGACTGCCGCCTACCAGGCTCCTTTGTCCACGGGATTCTTCAAGTAATAATACTGGAGTGGATTGCCATTTCCTTCTCCAGAGGATCTTCCTGACCCAGGGATCAAACCCAGGTCTCCTACATTGCAGGAAGATTCTTTACCTAAGCTGAGATTCTGAGCTATGAGGGAAGCCCTATTTGACTGGATTTCAGAGTGATAAACTTAGTCCTCCGTTTCCTGTTTGAAATCTATCATGCCTGCAGACAGCACACACTCCCTGGCAAAGGGAACACAGTGGCTGGGTGGTCAATCTGAGAAAGGTGAGGTCTGTGCGTCTGTGGTGTTTTGACAGAAACCAAGTGTTGGTTGCTCAGCCAAGTCTGACCCTGCAACCCTGACTGTAGCCCGTCAGGCTCCCCCGTCCCTGGGATTCTCCAGGCAAGAAGACTGGGGTGGGCAGCCATTTCCTTCGCCAGGGATCTTCCTGACCCAGGGATCAAACCCGAGTCTCCTGCACTACAGACAGATTCTTTACCATCTGAGCCAGCAGGGAAGCCCTTTTTGACAGAGGGCACTGCTAAATCTGCTTGCCACTGGGGGTGGGTTGAGTTGAGTAGAAAGCCAAGTCTTACTGGCTTGAGATATCAGATGACAGAACTCAAGGCTGGAGAACCACCAGAAATTTAGAAAGGATATTGTGGAAGAGAGGGAGTCAAAGAGGAGATGGTTCCTGAAATTCCATACACAAAGACCTCCCAAGACCTGTGCTGTTCACTAAGCTGATCATGCGTAAGGAAGGGGAATTTGAATTCAGCCAAGTTAACTGCTTTCTAGAGTAAAAATTCTTCTGAGAAGCAAAAGAGAATTCAGAGTCTCTAAAATCCATCATTTAAAAATCCAAGTATCCAACCAAAAAACACTAGACACGCAAAGAAATAGGAAAATGTGACCCATACTCCATGAAAAAAGTCAATAAAAAACAGATTCCAAAGATTTCTCAGATATTATAATTATCAGACAAGCACTTTAGACCAGCTATTATAAACACATAAAAGATTTAAAAGTAGGAGGTCCCGGGTGGTGCTAGTGGTAAAGAACCTGCCTGCCAATGCAGGGGAAGAGACTCGGGTTCGATCCCTGGGTTAGGAAGATTTCCTGGAGGAGGGCATGGAAACCCCACTCCACTATTCTCACCTGGGAAATCTCATGGACGGAGGAGCCCCGTGGGCTTAGTCCATAGGGTCGCAAACAGTCAACATGACTGAAGCAACTTAGCACATACATGTGCACGGTAATGAATAGAGAAAAAATAACAAAAGGAAGCAAGTGAAAGTTTCAAGTTGCAAAGTCCAATGAATGCAATTGAAAACTGACTGTATACACTTAAGAATAAACTGAAGATGGGAGATATAAGAAATGAAATTGAAGATGACTCAATAAAAACTACCTAATCAGAACAGAGAAGAATAAAAAGACCTTGAAGGAGAAGAGGAATAGAAAGGGAATCAAAAATCTTTGAATAAAACATCCTAAAATTTGTAAATGACATTAACTTATAGATTAACACAATGAAAACCACAAATAGGCACATCATAGATAAACTGCTTAAATCCAAAGAGAAAAACCTATCTTGAGAGCAGAGAAAAGTGGTGTATTACATAAAGGGGGACAAATGCATAAATGAGATGCAAGGTCTCAAGGAAAACAAAACAGCCCAGACTGCAACGGAAGGATAAATTTAAGGTGCTGAGAGAAAGAAAAACTATCAACTCATAATTCTCTATTGAAACTGTCCTTTAAAAGTGAAATCAAAATAAAGACATTATCAGATAAAGAACTGACAATTCATGGCTGGGGACTTTTAGAAATGCTAACAAATTCTAAAGGGAAATTACAACAGTAATTTGGATCTACAGTAAAGAGATGACCGGAATTGATAAATGTCTGATAAGACTTGTTTTCTTAATTTCTTCAAAAGTTTTATATAGTTTAACATACACGGACAACAGTAAAATGGTAGCTCAGTCATCCCAATGGTAGCTCAGTCATCATTCTGTCATTTTTGTGTCATTTATGTCTTCCCCACCACCTTACTCCATAATCGTTTCCATCATCATCACCATTATATGATTCTTTTTGGTAATATTTCCATACATTGAAATGTACAATTTTTAGCTATATACTTTTGACAAATAGATATTATCCTATAGAACATTTCTAGCACCCCAGAAATTTCCCGTTTATCCTTTTCCAGCAAATGCCTAGCCTACCATAAATAATGTTTCGCTTTTTTTTCACCTTAGTTTTCCTTTCCTACTTTGTTCTTTATCACTGAATAGTAATCCATTCTATGAATATTAACAGCATGTTTTAGCTTCTAACTTGGAATTAATTGTAAATAAATCTGCTATGAACATGCCTAAACAAGTCTTTTCATGGACAAATGTTTCACTCCTCTTTGATAAAACCTATAAATGGATTTTTCTGTCAAAGGATTGGTGTACACTTTATAAAAAATTGTCATTTTACATTCCCATTAGCAATGTATGAGAGTTACAATTGTTCCACAATCTCAGTAACACTTAATGTTGGCAGACTTCTTAGTTTTATCCATTCTATTTGCATATTGGTATTTCCTTACGGCTTTAATGTCTTCTTCTGATGACTGACAGCAGTGAACACTTTTTCATGTGCCAGATGGCCTTCTGTAAACGCTCCACTGTTGTAAGTCTTTCGCCCATTTTTAAATTGGGTAGTCTTTTTTTTTTTTTACTATTGAGATGCAGAATTCTAAGATTTAGACTGGGGTGGCACTGAATCTACAGATCAATTTGTGAAGGACTGGC